AAAAAAAAAAAAAAAAAACCAAAAAAAAAGAAATGGCCATCTAAATTTTCTCCAATTTCCTGGAAGAATTTGTGTAAAATTAGAAAATAAGTGAGTCTTTTTTCTTTAAATATTTTGTAGGATTCATTATTAACAGTTTCTGGGTCTGGAGATTTCTGTGTAGAAAGTTTTTAAATTATAAATTCAATTAATTTGATAGTCATAAGAGTTCTCAGATTTTCCATTTTTTCTTTCTTGAGATTTAGTGGATTATATTTTTTCCAGGAATTTTTCTATTCAATTAAGTATTTCAAATTTGTCAGTATAAAGTTCTTCCTAATATCCTCTTATCTCTTATTATATTTTAATGTCTCTGTGACATGTATTGTAGTGCCTCCTTTTAGTCCTGATATTTTTTTTTTGGTTCTACATTTTTTTTCTAAATTAGTCTCAGAGGTTTATCATTTTTAAAATTTTCAAAAGAACCAGGTTTTAGCTTTGTTGGTCCTCCCTGTTGTAGTTGTTTTCTATTTCATTGAGCTCTGCTTTTATTTCTATCATTTCCTCCTTATTTATCATTCTATTTTGTTTTTTAGATAGGGTCTCACTCTAGCTCAGGTTTGCCTTGAACTTATGACAATCTTCCTGTCTCAGGCTCCCAACTGCTGGGATCACAGACATGTGCCACCATGCCTGGTGGTCCCTCCTTCTATTGCTCTTTTTCTGAATTTTTTGACAAATTTCCAGCCTTTCTTTTTTATAATATGTGGACTTAAAGCTGCAAATTTCTCTCTAAACATAGCCTTAGCAGCATCCCACAGGATTTCAGATGTAATATTTTCATTATCAATCAATCTACAGTATCTCCTAAATTCCATTGTGAATTTACCTTTGATCCGTGGGTTTTTCTCCCTCTCCAAAGCATAGTACCTAAACTTTAATGGACATAAAAATCATCCCTGAAGGTCTTGCCAAGATACAAGCTTTACAGTGCCATCTCAAGACTACCAGATGACTATTTCTGAAAAATCGACCCAGCAGAATCTACATTTCACAAGCCCTTTATCGGATCCAGACACAGGTACGTGCATACCAAGCCCACAGTTTGATGGCAGAGCGGGGTTTCCTAACAGCAAGGAGCAAGACCGATTCACCTGTATCATCAGTGCCGAACACTGGAGCTACATAAAACTGTGTTTAATAAATGAATGAACCAATATATGAAGGAAGAAAGAAAATAAATTTCTTACATCAAGAGAATTGGAATTCTTCATTGCCATAATTTAGAGGAACCACTGCAGCATCATTTGATCCCAATTTAATTGTTGTTTTTTTTTTTTTTTTTTTTGGTTTTTGTTTAGTTTAGTTTTGTTTTGTTTCAGACAGGGTCTCTTTATGTAGTTTGGGCTGTCCTTGAACTTACTGTGTAGCCCAGGCTGGCCTCAAACTTACTCTTAATCCTAGGCTGCCCTCAAACTCATAGCAGCCCTCCTGCCTCAGCTTCCTGAGTGCCAGGATTATAGGTGTATGCCCTCATACCCAGCAAAGATTTTTGTTTGGTTGGTTTTGGGTTTGGGGCTTTAGGGGGGTTGTGTGTCTTCACACAAGGTCAATTCTGTGTAATTTAGGCTTGCCTTGGACTCATTGTCAGTCCCAGACTGGCCTCAAACTCATAGCAGTCCCCCCTCAACCCCTTGAGTGCTGAGATTACATGCACGTGCCACTATGCCTCACTTAATCTCATTTGAAACTAATATTTTTTCCTCTTCCCACCCTGTGTTCTCACTTATCCCATTACACTGTCTGCAAACATGGCCCTGAATATAGGTTTATGCCTGTCCACTGGCCCAGAGAAAGTAAGGGTAGCATAGGAGAGAACCTGGTAGGGGCTGTACAGAGCTGGGCACACTTGCTCCTCCCCACAGCCCCCCATTGCCCACCTCCAAGCCCTGCCCAAAGAACCACATTCCAAATAAATTTAACCTACTCTACCTCTCAGATCCCTCCCATCCCAAATCTCTGAGAAACATTCACTGCATCTCCGTCCTGACCTAGACCCCAGAACACACCCTATGCCACATCCTCTGCACTTGCAGCCTATGTGAGTTGCTCTCTCAGCAGCCCCTTGGCCACCTCTCCCCACTTCCACACATGCCATTCTCCAGCATCTTAGAAAGGCCTGAGCATGTTTTACCCTGCCAGCTATTGTCCTGGGAGCACAGCCGCCACACCAACAACCCACCCAGTCAGCCAGTCAACCCGTGGCTCCCGGCCTTTCCAGCCTCCCTTCTGCCCCGCCCCAGGAAGGACCAGGCTGCTGGTGGGTAGGAGTCTCCCTGCCTGCCTGCCTGCCTGCTCAGTCTCTCAGTCTCAGTCTCAGTCTCAGTCAGTCTCTCTCTCTCTCTCTCTCTCTCTCTCTCTCTCTCTCTCTCTCTCCTCCCCCCTCCCTCCTCAGCCCGCCCCTGAGGCAGGGACCGTGCAAATCGAGGAGAGGGGGGGACAGACAGGCCGGATGGGGTCCAGTTTAGGGCCCAGGACTCCCCACTGATGCCCTGTCTAGGCTGGGTATCCCCAGCATCTTAGCACCTGGATTTGTGTGAGCCGGGGTGATACCCAAGCTGGGAGATCCTTCCAGTAGGCTCATTGTGCCCTCCTCTTGCATCAGGACCCCCCTCGAATGCTCTGAGCCACCCTCCTCAACCCGGATCTAAAACCCGGGACACATCTATCAGGCCAACCTCTCTCTCTCCACCCCACCTCCTCTTTCTGGCATCCATCCCCTCCCCAACACCTCTGCTGCTGCCTCTGGCTGTGGATCCATACCTCTTCCTAACCCCACCACGCTTGGGGAGCCGGGGGAGCCTGGGTGAGAGACCTCCCCAACCTGGGGCTCTCCCAAGCGGTGCCCCCTGTGCTCCCAGGGAGGAGCCTCAGACCCTGAGCATCTGCTAGAGGCTTGGCAGAGGCCCCACAGGGACCGTGTCTTCTGAGGACAAAAGGCGGCGGCCAGCAGGCAGACGGGAGGGGGAGGGTGGCGACCAGGCTGGCAGAAGGGTGCAGGGGCCAGCCCTGGCCCCCCTCCCACCATAGCTGTGGCATGAAGATGGGGGTGGGAGCGTGTAGTAGGGAAAGCACCTGCTGGGGCCCCCACCTGCCAGCTAGTTGGGCACCCCAAAGCTGTGTGCTGCCCACCTGGCGTTCCGTAATACCCCCAGCCCTGCCCAGCGCACCCCTCCGGTGCCTACTTCCCCTGATGCCCGCGATTTAGACCAGTCCGGCTGTATCCACGGCAACAGAAGCAGGAGTGTCACTGACAGCCAGATTACTGAGGGTCCCACAATGTGGCCTGGGCTGTGGTTTATCCTGGGTGAGGCAGCTTGAGCCCCTTTTCTGGATTCCAAGACAGCCCAGCTGAGTGATCCCAGGTAAGCAGTCAGCATCCCTCCACCAAGGATGGGTGGCTGGAGTTTCTCTTCTGTCTCTCCACACATATTTCAGAGTCTCCATCACTGCCATGCTCTCTCTCGCTCTCTCTCTCCCTCTCCCTCTCCCTCTCCCTCTCCCTCTCCCCCTCTCTTTCTTTCTGCTCCATCATAGGAGCAGGAGCTACTCGAACACTCAAGCCTAGAAACTCCTTATCTTCACTCATCTTCCCCAGTCCCAAATGTCCCATGAGAAAGGGAGCCACCACCTGTTTACCTGCATGGGGTCTGTTTTTATCATTAAGATCATGCTTGGGCACAAAGCCGTGTTGATATTTCCTGTGTGCTAGCCATGGAGGGATTCCTGGGAGCCCAGCTGTGGTGTTCCCCTCACAATGCCTGCAGCTGCTGTCTCTCTCTCTCTCTCTCTCTCTCTCTCTCTCTCTCTCTCTCTCTCTCTCTCTCTCTGTCCCCCTCCCTCCCTCCCTCCCTCCTTCCTCCAGGTTCCTTGGCCAGTTTGCTCTGTGTGTGTGTGTGTGTGTGTGTGTGTGTGTGTGTGTGTATGTACACAGCAAATGGGTAGATAGGGAAACTGCTTCTAGCTCGGACCACCCCCGACTGCTTTCTTCCTTTCTACCCTTCCTTCTCCTCTCTCTCCCCACAGGTAGCACAGACTTTTGCTCCCTCACAATGGAAGATATGCTGTGGTTCCCAGCTGTGGGAGGAAATCACTGTAGGGTTAAAGGAAGGTGAGGTGGCGGTGGGGAACACTTCAGACCCTAAGCTGCCTGATAGCTCTGAGAGGGCAAGGACCAAATCACCTGACAGCCTGGGTCTGAGAGGGGCCAGGCACAATATGCTTGTCCCCATAGTGTGGGATCCAACTTCCATCACATGGCTGTCTCAGATACCCATGTTGTGTCTGGGACCTCCAGATCTTATGGCCTTGTGCATGGTGGCCAGATGTCCCCTATATCTAGAATGGCAGAAAAAAATGGTACATGGAGAACAAGGATTCTACAGGGACAAATACCCCAACTAATAGCTCTGCAACTCCAATGGAAGCATGCCACTTATTGAACCTCAGTTTCTCCATCTGTAGGAGAGATTGGTAACTCTTCCTTCATGAGTGTGTGGAGGGATTAAATAAGTTGGTGCATGTAAGTAAGGGATGTGCATAGAGGTGGCACTGAAACAATACCAGTAGAGCTTATGATCAGTATTGTTGTTAATTGTTCATGGTTAATATTGCTGTTGATCATTTTGGGGGAGGTGCTCTCCAGGGTCTCAATAGATCTGAGGAAGGCAGCAGGTGGGTAAATGGGGGGATGGGAAGTAGGGCAAGGCAAAAGCAACGCTACGTTGTTATTTCTTATTTGTACACCATGATAAGAGGTAGTTATAGGCAGTCTCTCATTTTCACCCCACTCCAGGCTTCTTTCCCTGCACTTGCCTCTGTACACACAGACACACAGACACACACACGCACACACACACACACACACACATACACACACAGGATTGAGCCCCTGTGAGCCAGCAGAGGCCTGATTTGTAACCTGCTGCATTCCTGGCCCTGATATGTGTCTCTCTGTTGAGGGGAGACTTGGCAAGAATTTGCCTGTGGTCAGTGGTTGGCATGGTCTGGAGACAAGGCTGAAGCTTCTAAGATCACAGGGCTTCAGGTAGAGCTGGGGTGTGGCCTATGCAGCAGCCAGATCTGTGGGGAATGAATCCCAGGGAGTTGCTTATCTAGAGCCTGGGATGGGGTAAAAGTGGGGTCTGCTGGCTGGTTTCTGGGAGTGGAGATATGGTGGAACACTGAGTGAGGGGCCAGGAGCACAGGAGAAGCAGGAGGAGGGGAAAGACTGAGCCCCAGAAGACCCTCTCTGTGAGAGCAGGGAGGGCTAGGGCCTTGAAACATAGACTTTTTTGAAGAGGCATTTGGTGTGGAAGGCAAAAAGCACAGCCTGGGGCATCTGGGTCTGAGTGTAGGTGTATATGTGTGATTGAAAATGTGTGGCTGTGTGTAGTCTGTGTGTGCATGTCTGTTCATGGGATTGTTCGGGGGTGTGAGTCTAAGTGTTGTGAGTAGGTCATGTGATGGTGTGTGGGAGTGTGTGGGTGTCTGGGTAGGCTGGTGTGTGTACAGAGGGGTAGGCATGACTTTGCTTGTCTGGGTGAGCAAATAGGCATGTTGGATTCTGACCCAAGTGTGTGTTTCTCTGAGACTATAGGCCCACTGAATGTCTGGTTGTATATGCATGGTATCAATTTGCCTTTGAGTGTATATGCCTATTTATATGTATATGACGGTGTAGGTTTCAGAATGCTTGGGTATTCGTGCCCAACTAAGTGACTGCCTATTTCTACCTGCTTGTATGTGTTCATATATGCCCATAGGTGCTTGTGAATGTGTACACATTTAAATGGTGTGTTTGTGAGTTTAAAGATATGTAAGTGCATGCTCATTTATGTAGAAGGTGTGTGTATATGAATGTGCTTGTATGGTATGTGGTGTGGGTGTGCTTGTCATGTATTTATGTGAGTAAGCCTGTGTGTGAGTGTCTGTGTGGATTCTCTAGCACTTCAAATTGTGTATATATCTCTGTGTGCATGTTTTAAGTGCACACTGTCTATAGACAAGCCTATGTGTCTGTATCCAATTCAAGATATGTGAGTATAGGTGACACACTAGTAAAAAGAGAACTAATTGTATGGCTAGGGGAGGCTATATGAATAAAAATATATTTTGTGAGTATACTTATGTATGCACATTGAGCTATGTGTATGAATACAGCTGTGGGAGTATGTGCTACCATATATTATACACCCATACACACTCATAAGCCTGTGTGCATAGATGGGTACATGTGTATATAACACCATTATGGGTGAGTGCATATCTAATAATTGTATGCATGAGTGACTACATTTCATAATACTTAGGTGCATGTGTCTCATTATGTGTTTTGTTTGGACTTCTGAGTGCGAGTGTGAATATGTGCTTGAATATGCCTGAGAATGATTGTGTGTGCATATGTGGTTATAGATACTGATATATATGAATGCCTGAGTATGTGCATATAATAGGCATATGCCTATTTAATTGTGTGTGAATATGCCTGTGTGTGTATCTGAGTGTACAGGTGTGTGAATACACCTGTTTGTGTAGTTCTAATTATTTGCACTTGTGTGTTTGTATTTATCTTTATTCTGGGTCACATATTGCAGAACAATGTATGTACATGTTACTCTCAGCTGATAAGAGTGTTTCATTGTGTGGATATATCTACAGAAGTCTTTGCATGTGTCTGTGATGAGTGTGCATCAATCCTATGCAGGTGAGCAGGTGTGTGCAAGAGCATACATCCATGTGTGTAAACATACCTTTGTGTCCAAATCTATCTGTAGAATATGTGTAAATGATTCTTCTTTCATTTGTGTGGTTTCTTATTATGGGTGTGCGAACGTACATGGTGTACATATCTGGCTATGACAGTGTATGTTTTGCAAGTATATTTGTGTTTCCACATCTGATTATGTGCATGTGAGAATGAATTAATGTATATATCTGTCATGTAAATGTACTTATAGATGTACTTGCTCAATTTTGCATACAAGTCTATGTGTTAGAATGTCTGTATATGTATACATCATCTCATTAGCAAATGTATGCATATCTGGTTGTTTGTATGTGAGTACACCCACACAGGCATGTGTGTGTAAATATGCTTGTATGGTTATGTCTGAGGATGTGTAAGCATACTTAGGAGCTTGCCTTCTGTGTCCATGTTTATTCATCAGCTCTGTAGGTGTGATTCTGCTTGTCTGTGGCCATGTGAAACTAGGTATGTGTACCTGAATTTGTGAGTGAATGTGTGTCATCATCCATGAGCATTATGCCATGTGAATGTGTGTCATATATCAATGCCTGTGTTTAAGAGTAAATTGATTTCTACATGTGTGATCAAGTACAGTGTACATACGCATTGCTATGAGGGTTCCTATGTGTATGGGTGAGTGAAGGTATTTTTTCATGTGCCTGTCTGATGGTATGTGAGAAAGACTTGGCCTTGGTCCTGTGCAGATGAGCCTTATCACCGAGAGGGTTCTTACGAGTTTTTGTGATTCTGTATGCACCTAAGCGTGTATTTCTATGCATGTCTAAGAGTCAGTGATATTCTAATAGGCTGCATAAGTTTGTAACAACTTGTAGACATCCTACATATTGGTAAGCTATGACACCTGAACAGTCATGACCTCACTTCTGGGGCCTTTCTGACTTTGACCATGTGCTAGACTTTTGTGGTTACCCCCAGGATAATTCCTGTCATCATTTACACCTAAGAAGTAGGGATCAATCGGGGGCCCATGACCTCTTTAGAGAAGGATTCCTTGGGGCTGGGGATTTAGCTCAGTGGCAAAAGCGCCTGCCTGGCAAGCGCAAGGTCATGAGTTTGGTTCCCGGTACCGGAGAAAAACCAAAAAAAACCAAAAAAATAAATAAATAAATAGAGAAGGATTCCTTGAAACAGAAGGACCTCCCTTCCCTTCCCCTCACCATTAAAGGCCTAGGGAAGAATGGCATTGTATAGTGTCTAGGATTGGTAAATAGTTTTCATAGAAAGCATCCAAATTATGCCACCAAATCTAGATGTGAATGTGTACAAATAAATGAAGACAGATAGATGTAGATGTAGATATAGATATTGATATAGACATAGATCTTAGGAAAGAGATGTAAAGAGAGATCTAGCGGAGAGATTAAGCAGAGATATGAGGTGTGTGTGTGTGTAAGAGAGAGCATGTTTCTGGGTAGGATGTGCATTGAGATATTTGGCTTAATTTGAGAGGGGCAAGGTGAATATGGGTGTATGTAAATTGATCTGTTTGGGTTGAGGGTGGTATGAATGACAGTTTGCATTGATTGGGTAAAAATATATATGAACATATATAGAGATATAGATTATATATACTTGAGGGGATGTGGTATGTGTATATTTGTGTGGTGCAAGAGAGTGGGAGGTTATTTGGATAGCATATGTGTTTGATAGTGTGTCTGTATACATGTGTGTGTAAGAGAGACTGTGGGTGTTTCTGGATAAAATATGTATATGAGGGAGTGTGAGTGTATTGGTGTATGTGAAGTGTGGGAATACCCAGATGGTGTGTAGCCGTCTGTGTCAGAGCACAGTGTTCTAAGCAGTGGAAGTGTGTGATTGGGTGATTTTACATATGTGTAGGAAAGAGAATTTGGGCATACGTAAGTGAACGCAGAGCGCATGCATATATGTAATTGGATGTGTCTGTGGAGGGTGTGTGGAGATGTATTTGGGTGAGATGTGGAGGATGTATATGAAAGCGTATATGTGCATTTTGTGTTTGGAGTGCAGGCAGATCTGGATGATGGTGATTAAGAAGAGTGATCTGTTGTGTGTGTGTGTATGTATGTGTGTGCGTAAGAGAAAATATAGGTGTTTCTGAGTACGGTAGCTGTGTGTACATGGATGTGTATGATGGGAGAAATGTGTACGTGTGTCTAGACGCAGTATGAGAGTTTGGGTATAACTGGATTGGGTGGATGTATCTGAGTAGGGGCTATGTTTAACGTGTATGTGTCAGAGTGAGAGACAGAAAAACAGAGAACATGAGAGAGTGTGGGTGTACATATGGGTAAAATTTGCATATGGGTGTGGGTTCCCTGTATGATGTGTAGGTGGATATCCAAGTGGTGTGTGTGTGTGTG